TAGTGTATAGTGGTTCTCTACAAAGTCAAACCAACTGTTGCCTCCATTTTTGTTTCAATTCTTTACCTTGTCTTCATGTAGATTGTTAAAGGAATATTTATCCCAATGGCATATTCATGATGGTGCATACGTTTTAAATTGCGTCAATGTGTTAGTTTCATAGGATGTTTACCCAGCATTCTTATTACTCTTAAGTCGGATCAAATTTGATCATTTTCAATCAGGCCTTCTACCTGTTGAGTTAACATGATGGTACAATTTACTTGGGAATATGGTGCAACTTTAATTTTGTAATTCTGTTGCTCTCACAATCAAAACCAATTATTGAGCAGATAGGGTGCTGTTAAATGGAGCTTCATGTTATTGATGTGTGTTCAACTTACTCACTGTCGGCAGTAATGGGGGGAGTCAGGGGCGAAGTTCTATTTTCGAATATATTTTCTGAAGATCATCCGTCCTTCTACGGTAAATGTACCAGAATAAATGGTTATGCTGTTTTGATTGACATGTACTAATGTTAGAACATCGAGGTACTATATTTGTACTTTTATTTGCGAAGTTTGACTTGTACAATGATTGTCGGCCTGGAGAAAATATTACAAATATTTTGTTGGATAAAGTTATGGGAGCAATATTAGCGAAGGCTATGAGTTATTCAATGGTAGCAATAGTTTGTCTTTTTGGTAAAAATTAGTGAGCCTCAGACTGTCCACATTGCAAGATCAGTGCAGCAATGAATTGTATTCCAATGTTCACCAGGCTGTCACAGTGCCTCTCTTTTAAAGCCACCAGGCTGTCACAGTGCCTCTCTTTTAAAGCTGATTATTTATCTACAATATTAGACGAGTGCGGATCCTCCAAACAAGAATGCAATGACCAGCCTTTTTTAGTACGTGTTGTTAAGCAGATTATTTATCTACAATATTGGACGAGTGTGGATCCTCCAAACCAGAATGCAATGATCAGCCTTTTCATTACGTGTTGTTAAGCATCTATTGCAATGAGGTCGGTATACCTTGTGATGCATATTATTGAGCATAAATAGAAATATCTCTGGTTTCTCAGTGTCATTCTATATATATTGGTTTAATAACAGAAGAAATGATTGTTTTTCTTTTTTTGCTATTCAGATGAACCAAAATAAACTTTCATTGCAGCAATTAGAAATTTAAATCCCTTATCATATGTGCAACAAAATGAAAAAAAAAATGATATGATCAACATTTAAGTTAATTCCGGTATATCTCAATCACTTTAACAGAACAATTCAAGAATGAAAAGAATCTCAAAGTTGTAACAACACTATTGGTATACCATTATACAGAACCTTGGTTGGTTGACGAATCTTCTCTCTTTGATCGACGTTCTTGTAGTAAGTAGGTGCATATAGACTAGGTGCTCCCTCCCTCCCTCCCTTCATCCAAATTTTCAGAGTTTTGTAGTGTATAGTGGTTCTCTACAAAGTCAAACCAACTGTTGCCGCCATTTTTGTATCAATTCTTTACCTTGTCTTCATGTAGATTGTTAAAGGAATATTTCTCCCAATGGCATATTCATGATGGTGCATATGTTTTAAATTGCGTCAATGTGTTAGTTTCCGATGGCAAGAGATCTAATCACAATTATTTCTAGCAGTTGATGAAGAACAAAATCTTTCAAATCTTTATAAGCAGTTCAAACACAACTATCTTTATTCTTGGACGGACATAACATACCAATACTGACCCTTAAAGCAGCTCATATGGCAGCAGTTAAAATTTGATAATGGCAGCACCACTTGATGGTTTAGATGCGAAAATGTAGAGGCCAAGATCGTTGTTACTGATAATCCCCTTGTCAATTCTTGATCGATAAAATTGCTCCTGCCACAAGTAAAAGAACAATATTTATAATTGTTAGGTTTTTAGTGTTGGCAATTCTGTGAGCAAAATGACTAATTTGTAACGTGTTGTAAAAGCCAATGACCTATGACGCAATTTGTACAAATTGGGTTATGAGGTCTAGGGTTCGAACATGAAAAGAGGAGAAACACGGTGCCACATTTTCGCTAGCTTCTCACCCAGTGGCACTCGAGTGGCAAAAGCAGATTGCCTATCGCTCGCCTCTCGTTGAGCTCTCGCTCGAGCAATAGTGTGTCCCTCGCCTGTCGTTGAGCCCTCGTTCGAATGACATGTCGATCCAAAAAAATCCTAATTTACTATTTTGAAATATTTTTTCCAGCCCATTCAAACAAATTACCCTCTCCATAATACACAAGTCTATGCAACAATTGTAGTGTTATTATTCATTGTGGTTATTCTCTAAACACATTCATATTATTCTTTGAAAATCCAAGAGCCTAGTCATACATTGATTCCATCTTTTTTTCTTGAGATTATACAACCACATATTTGAGAAAAACAACTCATTGAATCTGAAACACCACCTACTTTCTATTGGTTATAGGAAAGTACTTTCTCAATTGAATTTCAAAGGCTGCTGGAGGTTGAGAGGGGCTGGATTACAAGCGCGGGAAAGCAAAAGAACTGGACGTTCTTGGAATTTCACTTGGAAGAGACAATTGCAAAAGATCGGGAGCAGGTTCAGCTGATCTTGGAGGTTACAGGAATTAGATCAGGAAGTCTAGTAGAATTAGATAGGCAACATCTTACTGTAAATCCATATTGTCTATAGTGGATGTAACTAACTTGATTCCGGAGTTTTTACCCAGTTGGGATATCTTCGTCATCATATCGGTGTTTATTAATGCTTTTCTTATTATTGCGGTATTCAAACATAGGATAATTGGACTTGTATGCTTAATCATCTAGAAACAATTAAAAGTGGCTTCATGCTTTTGATTGATTAATTCCGCACGTAGAGTCAAAACTAAAAAACGGATAAGTAAGTTCCATTCGGTAATTTAAAAATCCNTTCGGAGCTTTTATACAGTTGGGGTTTCTCCGTCATCATATTGGTGTTTATTATTGCTTTCCTTATTACTACGCTATTCAAACATAGGATAATTGGACTTGTATTTTTAATCATTTAGAAACAATTAAAAGTAAGTTGTTACTTTTGATTGATTAACTCCGCACATAAGGTCAAAACTAAAAAGGATAAGTAACAACCATTCGGTAACTTAAAAGCTGTTAAATTGATAATCCGTGAACTGTTAAATGGTATTCAGTGCAACATCCGATTTTTTCAATTGGCATTAGAGTCCAAATTCGTTCCTTGACCTATATTATCTAGATGAGTAATTCATTATTCGTTCTGACATATTTTGATAGCAGTAATTATGCCTACCGAAAGGCTAGGATAAGAGATTTTTTAAAATCTATGGATAAGCGTATCTGACTTAGTGTTGTGAATGGTTAGGCTGTAACTAGTTCTACGTTTAATAATGAAGTAATCCCCACTCCCATTGCTAATTGGACAAGAGCGAACTTCGATGAATGTAACTAGAACAGTAAAACCTTACATGTCCTATTCACGAAAAT